CTAGTTTATCCCGTGGCGGGCGAGTTGGCTGGCCCCCGGAGGCCATTTGAGCGCTCTCCGTGGACAGTATGTGGTTGGCCCATAGTGGGCTGAATGATATAGCCCCTGACGGGCCGTGTGGCATAGACCCGGTCCTTACGCGGGTCTTTTCTTCATCACCGTCCTGCATCTTCACTCAAACATGTATGTATGCATGTATGTGTGTGTGTGTGTGTGTGTGTGTGTGTGTGTGTGTATGTGTGTGTGTGTGTGCGTATGTGTGTGTTGAATGGTGTTATCCCAGCACAAGTTGCTATGTCTAACGTAGCTGTTCGCTATCATCGCTTCCGCGATGGGCATGTCTGAGGTCTGAGGTGTGTATGGGGGGGGGGGGGGGGGTGCTCCCATGTGCCAAAGTGTATTCTCTTCGGTGAACTGGACAAGACCCGGCCACGTCATGGGCCCCCGAAGCGGTGGCGGGACAATGTTGTTTCTGACATAAAGGACCGCCAGATAGTGGACTGGTACGACCTCGCCCAGGATCACAGAGAGTGGAGATCATCATGCAGCACCATTCCTCCGACCGAGCCCGTCACTTAGACTTCGCTTGCACTTGTGGAAAGCGCTATCACCGTCGCCAGGACTTGACTCGCCACGCCCGATTCTGCCCGTGACTTGAACACTCTTTGGGACCTGCTATCATCTCCGGATGGGCATAATTGTATTGTATTGTATTGTGTGGGTGGGTGGGTGAGTGTGTGTGTGTGTTTGTGCGTGTGGGTGCTTGTGGTGTGTGTGTGTGTGTGTGTGTGCATGTGTGTGTGTGTGTGTGTGTGTGTGTGTGTGTGTGTGTGTGCATGTGTGCATGTGTGGAGGACACATGTTCAACTCACGGCCTCCTTCGTATATCTTGGTAGCCTCGTTGACCCTGACTCTCGTGTTGGCCTTGAGGTTGATCGTCGTCTTGCCAGCGCAACTCGTGCATTTGGAGCACTTCGCTATGTGTTTAACACTCCCGGCCTGTCCATCCGCACAAAGAAAATGCTGTACGAAACTTGCGTTCTGACTGTTTTGCTGTATGGTGCTGAGTGTTGGCCGGTTCTTCGTCGTGATGAGATCCGTATTGACAACTTTCATCATCAATGTCTACGGTGTATCCTGGGAGTCTCGCGCTGAGATCAGAAGTTGAATCATGTCCGGAATTGTGACCTCCGTAAGCGTTGGAGGGATGAGGATCTGGTGTCGGACACTATGCCCCGTCGCCGCCTCCAGTGGTTGGGCCATGTAGCTTGGATGCCTGACAACCGTCTCCTTAAGCAGTTGCTGTTTGGATGGCTTGACGCTCCCCGACCAGCTCAGGGACCTCGTCTTCGGTGGAAGGACAGAATACAGTCAGACAAGAAACTGTGTCAAATTGATGAATGGTTTACTCTGGCCCAGGATGGTCAGCAATGGAGAGTTGCGTACCGCACTCGTGTGCAGGGTCCTGCCCCGCCACCGCTCTCTTGCCTGGTATGTAAACGGACATTCAAGAGTAAATCTGGACTTGGACGACACAAATGTTCTGCTGATCGCCAGCTGCCTGTAGCGGAACAGCCGGACGCACGTCAATGCCATGCCTGCCTTCGGTGGTTCCGAAGTGCCGGTGGACTTGCTGCGCACAAGTGCACAACACCGCCCACACCCCAGCGCATACCAATCACCAGCCATCCGTGTTGCAACCAGCACTGCGCTACCTGTGATCGCTGTTTTTAATCTGCTCCTGGCTTTCGGCGACACAATTGCAATCGTGGACGGCGTCGTGGCGGAGCGGCTTCCTTGTGGCAGTGCTGACTTCTCTCGAACTCTCTCTTCTACTCTCCCCTGTCTCTGGGGCGGCGTGGCCAAGCATTTGGCAGCTGTACACCAGGCCAGGCCAAGTGTTAGTGTGTATGTGTGCATGTGTGTCTGTCAGCGTAGGCGCACGAGTGCCCGAGTTTGGCATGCGGTAGCACTTGGAGGTGCTTACCTGTTTGCGGGTGCTGAGGCTAACACTGTTAAAATAATGGTCTCTATAAGAGTGGCTGCTGTACTCCTCTCGCCCTATTCATACTTCCTCCGTATACAAAAACTTCGTGACTTTTTTTGAACGGTGTTTTTGAGCAAGAACCTGCTCGACGAACGGCGCCAAAGGCTGGCATAGACAACCCACGTCCATGTCGAGGTTAGTTTGGTTGATCCCGAACAGATTCTCCACGGATGCCATGCGTGTCAGGACGTTGCCGACAGAAACTCAAGAGTCAAATGAAAGAAACTAACACTTACTTGCTCGAAACTGACACAGTGACGAAGTGTAGCTCGTGGCTAGAACACGGAGTCACGCGGCACTCGCTGCCCTGAAACTGGCCAGGCTCGTACTTGCGGTGCGCGGCCCCATAGGCATAGATCTAGGCAGCGTGAGAACATAAATTTGTTTCGCTCGCACGGCAAGATGAAACATTTCAGTCGTCGTGCAACCAGCGCAGACTCAGGATTAGAATGTCGATGGCCTGGCTTTCTTCGCCTCTCTTCAGTCAGACGTCTCCTTTGTCGCCAAGGGGAATCGCAGGGACCTCCTCGAAGCCATTGTAGAATGCTTGGGAGGATTATCCTGGCGAGAAAATGCGAAGCGTGTGGATGTGCTTGTACGACTCGTTTCACGGCAGAATGGAGGTCGCGGGTTGGAACAACTGAATATAGTCGACACAGATTCGTGCACAGCTCTAGAGATGAAGAGGACGTAGCCAAAAGTCCAGAGTCGGATCATCACTGCAGGTGACAAGAATCTGAACGAAATGCGAGCGGAAGCAGCAACTGTTGGCGATGCGGAGTCAGCGTCGTCAGGTGACAATGACATGAGCGACGAAGACTCTGAAAAAACTCAATCTCATTCGTCTGAGTTGCTTTTTTCTTTGTATATAGCTTGTAAACAGGTTAGACAATGCCACGAGTGTTATTCCGTGTCAAACGGAACAATTCCAGAGCTGTGCGCAGCTTTCAAAAAAAGTCACGAAGTTTTTGTATACGGAGGAAGTATCTTTATTGCGTTGCCTTGACGAGGCTCTGTGCTGTCCCTGCGGGAATTTGCGGAAAAAACTCTCGAAATCTTGCGCAAGAAATTGCGGCAGAAAGTAACAAAAAATGCGACGAAAAGTGCGGAATGATGCAGAACTTGCCAGGAATTCGCGGAATTATTTGCAGAAAATTGCGGATTTGGGCCAAATCACGAAATTTGTTGCATCGTATATCTACTCGGGAGTCGGACTGTGCAAATAACCTACGGGATCATGGAAAGAACTGAGTTAAAAGTGCATAAAAATGTGAGATGTACTTGTAGTGCAGAAAACAACCAAAAACGCTGGAAATAGCGGATTTTGCTGAACATCGCGGGTTTGGGCTAAAATCGCGAAATTTTTTGCATCCGTGGAATCGCGATTTCCTGGAGGGTCAGTCTGTTCCTGCCACATAGAGACGGGTAAACTAGGGCTCGCACCGCCACTGAGACTTGTATTTTCAACCGACATACATGCGAATATTACATCCACCATGTGGTTGAGCGGGTATAAGCCTAATTCTAGAAGTACTCTTGTATCTTGATTGCACGCGCAAGAATGTTATGCTCTGGGTATCTGTTTCTTCTGTTTAGGTATAGGCTAGATTAAGGCAAGATTAAGGTTCGAACTGGCCTAAATGGTAATATTGATGATGGGTGACCTTTGTTACTAGTATGTGGCCTGCAAATCACTCCGTAAGCCTTTGAGCTGGTCACCTGACTCTAGGTTACAAGCTCCACCGCAATGTTCCTACACGCGACTGTCTGGGTGTAACTGTAACCGCATTAGCAGCCTATTTCCAGATGTGTCTTACCATGTTCTAGTATGGTGCCTGCATCACCTCTTCAGTAGCCCCTGCTACATACGTCCTACTATGTGGTAGTCTGCGAGTAATCAATTTATCCACAGGGAGTCTCAATATATCCCAAAACTTGTCTTAGATGACTGTGTTTGCAGTTTTCTCACAATCGAACTATGTAGGCTGAAGACACTGCTCTCAACTTGCGATTGCAATAATCGCTCAAGGAATGGGACCTATATTCGTTGAGTTATAGCGCTCAACGAACGCGCATATCGCCATACGCTCAAAGACTTTTCCGCAGTGCATTGGCACTTGATTTTATGTGTGATGACTGGCGCTCTAGTTTATTGATTGCCTTGTAGCAGTAGCTTTCCCGGAGGCTATATACCGTGGAATATTTATAAAGATTGGTTGCCTGATTCACGGGCCTTTCCGGATGGCGTTTTTTTATATTTAAATTTGACCGTTTTCCCTTGTTGCAAGAACCCTAGCAGCAGTACCCTGCCAAAGAGATAAACAAGACGCCTTGCAAAATGACTCCTGATTACAACATCATACATCCACATGCACACTTGCCTAGACAAAGACAGTTTGGGGAATGTCATTACAACTAACATCACTAGGTAGTTCTAGAACAGCCTGCATGTCTGCAAGTGCCAAGGTGTGTGGGTATGTGTGATGTACTAAGTATGCATGTGCATCACAACACAACACTTGGAATCCACTTCTCGCTCATTTCCTTCATATAGTGGTACAATGTTGTGCAGTGCACATAACAGACTTACTGAAACCTATCCCCAGTCAAGTTCGTGTACCAGAAAGCAGTTATCTGGGTTTGCCAGTGCTGACCACACTTTACAGTTCTATATCATCACTGCTATATCACTAGTAGAGGCTGGCTGGCTTTGATGTAGATCCGTCCAACCTTTCGACCTAGGTCCAACAGATGGTGACTTTGCCAAAAAGTGATTCATTAGTTTTCAAAGATGCCATGTTGACAAATACATGTTTAACAGAAGAAAATGATGCGTTCCTTGTCCCAGTAATTAGCTATACACCATGCAATCCCAGTATTTACCAACGCATCATGCAATCTTACCATGTACAAGTAGACATTGCTTTTCCATGTGCTTATGTTTGTACTGTAGCAATGGAAGCAGCGTCTGAAGAGGAGAGTAAGTACAAGTATCGACCACCAAATAGGGCTAATGTGGACAGTGATCACTACTACTCAACCAATGCGCCTCACGCAGATCTGGTGAGAGCATGTGAAGATGACGATGTGGAACAAATCCGACAAACCGTGAATATCGGCACTCCAACCGAACCTGTGATTAGACCGGATCTCTTGGAACAAGTGCCGGAGCCATACTTTCACGTTTTGTCTACGAGAATTCCCACGACAATCATGGTAAGTCAGAAGTATATCCTCCCTCCCCCAAGTGAATGCTGCTTTGCCAGTGTCGCACCAAAGCAATTTTCACCTCTCAAACTATGTACAACTTGCAATTAATATCAACGACTTTTAGTGATGCATTAGTTTAGGGCTGCAACGGGTAGGGGTTTTGTCGGGTAACGGGTCCAGGTATTTTATCCGGGTAGCGCGGGTACCCTGTTGGGTATTTTTGACACAGTTTGTACTGTGAGTGTGCACTTGCGCTACATAGAAATTGTACAGCAGCATGTACATGTAGCCATGCTGTTTACATGCACCGTTGCAAAAACACTGTACTCCAACCACCTGATCGAATTCTCAGGAGAAAAATGGATTCCCTACTACTTCCTCCGGAAACAAAAACTTCGTGACTTTTTCATATTACTTTTCAAGGAGTTACCGAGCTCAACAAAAGTGTTCTTTTGGAAGAGAAACACTTCAACACATTCAATCGACATATCTACAATATTTACAGGATCGATTAGTGGGAGTAGAGTCTCAGTCTGGGTCGCCATCGCTCGACTCATCACCGCTGAAACGGTTCCAAGTCGCAGGTCGATTAACGCGATGTCGTATGTCACGGAGGAGCTTCTCCGTGTCCATGATCGTCTTCGCTGTTACCTGAATGCCTTCCCAACATCTCGGCAGAGACCACGGTAGCGCTGCAGCACTAGTACGCATTGCCGCCTCCGCTCTGGCTTGAGGATGCCCCGGAGCAACAAATACAGGCAACACCAAACATTTCAAATTTCCTCCGAGGGATATAATAGTGGTACCAGCACTTCCCGGGTGCCACAATCAGATCTAGCCTTCTCCTTTGCGACCAAGGACACATAGTTGAGGCTGCTAGAAAAGGCGAGATCATCCACGTTGAGGTCTGGGCTCTGCAGTGGCTGAACGACTTCTATTTTGAAATTGTTCATATTGCTCTGTTGCGCGAAGTGACGACTGTCACATCTCTGCGTTTTGGAGTTTTGACATCTTGCCGACTTGTTCGCATGCAAACAGGCGTTTCGGAGATGGCGAATCTTTCAAAACGCTAGCTGCTATTGCTATTAATTTTCCACTCTTCTTGCTCCTCGGTACCATTGTCCTGCTTTCTCAAGTTTGGAACTAAAAAATAGCTACGACGAGAAGTGAGCGCAGTGCTTTTCTTCCCATTGCGCCTGATGGACGAAAAATGAAAAAAAACATGTTCTCTTTGCATTGTTTGCAGCGTCGACACCCTTGCTCAGCGACAACTGTCGGCTCTCCAAAATATGAATCATGCTTTCCTACGATTCCGAAATGTCATGTCAGTGTTTCAGGCTAACAGAACCAGAGAGAGAGAGCAAAATAACAGCAGCGAAAAGTAGTGGAAAAGTCACGAAGTTTTTGCTTCTGGAGGAAGTACGGGTACGGGTAGCACGGGTACCCTACTACTCGTTGACACCTCTACATTAGGTACATCCAGAGTACATAGCCCCCAAAAATGTGCAACTCAACCATCGGTTCTGTCCTGACAGAATTCAAAGTTGACATCATCTTTATGATACAAAGCATGTTGTACATGTCTCATCCTCTATCTGTGGAGGACGAATAACATTATGATTCCATGTAATGTGTTAACAGACAGTGAATACGTTGTAAATCACTCACTAGAGAACCATTGCATCATACAATTTTGTCGGAACAGCACTGTATCTGGAAGGTGCACACCATTTTAACGGATGATAATATGTATTTTGGTGTTGGGCTGACTGCTCAGTGTTCTTCTTTTTCTCTCTCTCTCTCTTTCTCTCCTATCTCTCTTCTTCATCCTTCTACTCTACCTATCTCTGTCAACGCTTATCCTTGTGAGAAATGCCAGCCTGTAGCATGCTGGCTCGTAGTTCACCGACCCTCGCTAAAGCGAGAATTGCAACGTTCAATGTACGCGGCCTAACTTCAAATGTCAAGAAACAGCAGCTAGCGAAAGACCTATTGTCCTACAGAGTGGACGTCTGCGGCCTCCAGGAGCTAAAATTTGCAGAGCCGTTTGACAGGTCTATCGACGACGGATACAGGCTTGTGGGCTCTGGCCAGGACGCGGGTCACCACGGGGGAATTAGATTCGCCGTGTCGAAATATTTCAACGAATTCCAGAGAAAACATAAAAAGCTGTCGGACCGAGTCGACTACGCTGACTTCTCGCTGCCCGCAAAGAGCTCCTCAGAGGCCTCTGTCGATGTGAGATTCGTTGTGGCGTATGGACCCACAGCCCCGTCGGCAGACAAGAACCCATCGCTGAGAGAAGATTTCTACGACTGCCTCTCTAAAGCATAGAATACTCCTAACAGCCGAACTCTGGTGTCTGCTTTGGGCGATTTTAGCAGCAAAGTCGGCACCAGCAAGACGCCTTGCATTGGTCTATACGGTAGAGGAGTGCGGAATAACAACGGCCAGGCGCTAGTTCAGTGGGCAAATTCGTGGGAAACTGTCCTTGCCAACACCCTTTTCCGTTATTCCATGCGCTACAGGACAACGTGGACTGGCTCAGTCACAAACAGAGATACTGGTGTAATCAGCAGAGTATACAATATGATTGATTTTATCGCAGTACCGGCTCGCTGCAAGTCCCTTATCAAACATGCCCGCTCGTATGCAGGGACACTGACGTCAAGCGACCATAAAATTGTCATCGCCGACATGGATTTCCAACGATTGTTCAAAGCTTATCGCTCAAACCCAAAAACAAAGAGGTCCGATGGTCCATTGGCTGTACGGAGGCTTTCATCGGACGCCACGGCGAGGCAAGACTACAAAGCAAAATTCAAAGAAAGCGTTTCCATCAGCCATACCAACTCTTGCTCAGAAGAAACTCTTAAAAATACTCCTTGTCAGAAATGGTCCAGCGCAGTAAATGGCACCCTGAAAGCGGCAGAGAGCAGTGTTGGCCATATTCACAGATCCACATCCGGGAAGTTAACTCTGCCCAACCAGGAAGTGGCATGCCTATCGGAGCAGCAGCGGGAGGTTCGGCTTCTTGCAGAGTCGGGTCACCACTCCTTGGCAGAGCTAAAGAGGCAGCGGAACCAGATACAGCACAAGATCCGTTCTATTCAGCGGGCTGATGCCTATGAACGCCTTGACAGACTGGCAGAGAAGGTGGAGCAGGCACCTGACTCAGCACAAATGTTCCTTGCTGCTTTGGCCATGAAAAGTGGATCTCAGCCATCCAGTATCATGGTCAGCTCTGCTGATGGCCACATTTTGGCTTCAGATAAGCAGAAGGCAGAGCGCGTCACTGAGCACTTCAAGGATCTATTCTGTAGAGATCAATCAGCTGCTATCCAGAAGCCAGTCCCTCACCGGCTAAGTGTGGCAATGTCTCCAGCGGAGGTGGAAACAGCGATGAAATGACTCAAAAACGGAAAGGCTTGTGGGCCGGACAAAGTTCCTTGAGAATTACTGAAGTATGGAACATCACAGCTACCCATCGTGGCGGCAGACATCATCAACCAAAGCGTTGCAGAGAGTGCCGACATTTCATCGCTCATCGGACTTGGCACACTGATTCCTTTACAAAAACCAAAAAAAAATAGAGGACCCGTGACTAGCCTGCGTCCCATTGTCCTCCTGAACACCATCCGAAAAGTTTTCTCCCTTGTAGTGCTCTGCCTCATCGCAAAGAACGTTGCTCGTTATGTCGGTCCAACTCAATCTGGCTTCAGACAAGGCCGAAGTACAACAGATGTGGTATGGACACAGCGCTGGATTGCGGCGAAGGCGACTCGATACAACTGGGAATGCCACATGCCGGGAATTGACATGTCCCGTGCGTTCGACATGATCGATCGCACCGAACTGTTAGACGTCATGGCATCAGTGACTGGCCCCGATGAAGTGTGCATGATCCACACACAAAATCAGTGAAAGTAGGAAAGGAAACTGCCAATCCGTTTCTCAGCACCATCGGCACCCCCCCCCCCCCCCCCCCCAGGGAGATGGCCTAAGCCCTGTTCTTTTTATTTGTTACCTGGAGGCAGCAATGCGCCAAGTGAGAGCAAACCTTCCCGAACGCCCTTTCGCCGACCGTCACATACCCGGAGAAACAGGGTACGCCGATGATGTGGCGTTGTACTCAGCTGGCGAGGGTTGGCTGAAGCGAAGCCTCCCCATCATTAGCGCAGAACTCGGGGATGGGTCCCTTACAGTAAACGAGACCAAGACCGAATTCTTGCGTCTAACATCAACTTCAGACTCCTGGCGGTCCAGCAGGCAGCTAGAGTCCCTCATTGGCGACAGCGAGGACTTGGAACGGACGAAAGACCTCGCTTCGAGTGCATATGGCAGGATGTATAGCCTCTGGCTGAGGCGTGGGAAGGTCAGTGAGCAGAGGTGCATCCGACTGTATAATGCCCTGGTTCTGCCCGTTCTTTTGTATAACTGCGGCGTATGGGGGATTACAGCGGCACAAGCGGAATCGCTGAACGCATTCCACCGGAAGCAGCTCCGACGGCTCATTGGCATAGTTTACCCAGCCAGGATGTCAAATACTGAGCTGTATGAGAGGTGCAACACGGAACCACTATCTGACATCGTGGACAGGAGAAGATGGCAGCTAACCGGCCATATTCTCCGTATGGACAGGGATGCGCCGCCATGGATCACGCTGACGAGCTATTTTGCAGGAGATGCCAAGGCTGGGCGTGGACATCCAAGGACATCCATTGCGACGCGCATCACAAGCGACTTACAGAGAAGGAACATCTACCTGAAGCGAAAGCAATCAGCTGGAGAATGTGAGGGCCATCGCTCTGGACAAGCCTACATGGAGAAATCTGGCCGACAATCCATGATCTGGCGTCACAGGTCATCAGTGCACCGTGTTAATAATTATCTTGATAATGGAATTTGATCATAGGAGATAGGACAGAAGCGGAAAGTATAATTATACTTACATAATTATATTATTACGCGTGCTGTGGTATTATTATTATTATTATACTTTTTGT